CCAAAACCCCAAAACCCCAAAACCCCACATTATTCAATGATTAGAGATAAAAGATTTAGTATTGAAAAATTACAAATTTAAAATGGAAAGATCTAGTTTTTATGAAGAAGATAAACAAAGCTAATTAATTGATGAGTATGAAGATGAATTGACATGCACTATTTGCCTTGATTTACTATATCAACCAGTTTCTACCTAGTGTGGGCATACATTCTGCAAAAAATGCATTAGTGAGTAAGTCTTTCTATTTGGTTAATCAAAACGTGTCATAGTTCTCTCAACTACAAAAATTAATGTACAATATGCAGAGAACCTATTCACTATTCATCTCAATATCTTCCTATAAACATTACGCTGCAGAAACTTATAGAAAAGAAATATCCTCTATAAATATAAAAGAAATAATAAACATAAGTTGAGATTATTAAATAAAAAGAAGAAGATCAAATAAGGCTTGATAACATTCCTATTTGGATAGATGGAACTCACCTTTTACCAGGAACCAATGCCATTTTGAATATCTAGGGAAGAGCAGGATTAGACCTTACTCACATTATCCTTAGAGGTAATAGAAGATTTGTTATTATGAAGTCTGAAAATGATATGAAAGGATTTGTACTTTTATTGAAAAGGGTCACACCAACTATGAATAGAAATGAAGTATTAGCTGAGGTCTCAGGTGTAGATAGATTTATAGCTGACTAAATATTCATTCCAGAGGATAGAATAGGGCTCTATCTTGAAGGTTAATAGCAACTCAAATTCGCTCGAGGAAGAGTCATAAAGGACAGAATCGAAAGCAAATTTTAGAATTCTTTAGAGGAAAGGTATTATGAGAATGAAATCTAAGAAAAATTAAAAACATTAGAAAATCTATTTGAATAAGAGTTTTCTAGAAGATCATAAGCTGATTAGGTTAGGTAAAATTATCAACATAATTAAATTTAGTTTATTAAGAGGAACTTTCGGGGAATATCCCAGACAATTATAAGGAACAATTATTGAGAGAGCAGAGAGGCAGACTCTATTTGTGATGTCTAATCTAGAATTCTAAAACAATCACAGAGAGTTAATATTTTCAAATGATCCTATAGAAAGACTGAATGCTTGCATTCAAGAGATTTAAAAGACGCAACTACATCGTAGACTTTTCGTTTGGGAACCTGAGGTTAAAGAGAAAATAAGTGAATCATAGTAGTCTTTCTTACTGATCTTGGCTTTGATAGCATTACTCTTTTGGGCAAGACTTTACTAATGATTTATGCTTTAAGTGATTAATTTCATTAATTTCTGTAATAATAAAGATTAAAATCAATGGATTAAAAATTATCAAAGGGAGCTTTTGATTAATTAATAGAGCAAGCTTATCCATCCTATATACTCAAACTTAATCACACTTGCTTTAAGAGATGCGTCAAGCCTGGAAAAACAGACTCTATATAGTTAAAAGAAGATGAAACCATCTGTATTGAATAATGTGCATCAACATATATGAAAATGCTTAGCCATATTATTAAAGATCAAAGAAAAAGAAATTGTTTTGATTGAACTATGATATTAATCAATGTTTTTGCATTTATTGTACAGAATTGCTCTCTAATTATTCAATTATATCCATTGAATGGGGTTTTGGGGTTTTGGGG